CGAAAGATAGAAAGAGATAAAAGGAGAATAAAAAGATAGAAAGAGATAGAAATAGAATAGAAAGAGATAGAAAGAGATAAAAGGAGAATAAAAAGATAGGAAGAGATAAAAAGAGAATAAAAAGATACAAAGAGATAAAAAGAGAATAAAAAGATAGAAAGAGGTAGAAAGATAGAAAGAGATAGAAAGAGGTAGAAAGATAGAAAGAGATAGAAAGAGACAGAAAAGGAATAGAAAGATAGGAAGAGATAGAAGGAGAATAGAAAGATAGGAAGAGATAGAAGGAGAATAGAAAGATAGGAAAAGATAGAAGGAGAATAGAAAAATAGGAAAAGATAGAAAGAGATAAAAAGGAAATAAAAAGATAGAAAGAGATAGAAAGTAAACAACACAAAAATTATTTAGTGGCGAAAAGGATCCAACGGGATATAAATGTTTCCTTTGTGAAAGAAATGGCGGACGAGATAATTAAGATCAAGTTATCTTTTCTAACCACGCTGCTATATTTCCTTCTCATACAGCGAGAAAGCGTACATTAACACAAATTCAACGAGAAAATTCACTTTCCGACCTCTTTGTTACAGCCATAGACCCAAGTACAGGTCACGCGAGAAGCCAGCTAAAATGTACACTAAAGTCACACCAAATGTAGTATTTGCGTTTCACACGAATTTCGGTGACGGTGAAATTCTAGATCTGCATTAATTCACGATACATCGGGCTTCGCGAAAGGATTTGAAACTTACGCGGAGCGGCCATGTCGGTGACCGCGGAACGCAAGAAAAATGGCCGCCACTCGTGACGCGACGCCGTTTCCTCACGGTGCAACGCGTGACGTCAGTCTATTTTCATTGCCGCCACGACAGCGCAAACAATTTAGCGAAATAATCCGTAAATAGGCGTAACGACGGGCGCGTGCTGTTTACACGAACAGATGCTTTTCCGCGTCTACCCAAGGCGCGTGTAATCCAAACGAACGAGGACAACGCCGACGACAGAGGCGATGCAGCTGCTGCAACGACCAACTTTCGTACTCTGACACTTATGCAATATTTCTCTGTCTCCTTCGCCGCAACGGCAACCTTCGACCTCGACTTTCGTGCTATCGCGTTGCACCTGTCGCGAGCTATTTTGCCTGCAAATAGATCGCGCGCGAGAACCCGCGCGCTGTTTCGCCGAGATTTCACCACCCCGACAACCTACAGCGCTCACGTAGCACCCTTTTTCTTCCGAGTTTTGTCATTTGTCCTCGACTAGGCGTGTTCGCCGTCCGCGCTCAGCTTGTTAATTGCCCTGCATGGATATATGATCGGGTGTTACTTACTTGCAGATGCTCCTTCGGGATGATTTTATGAATTTATGTAGGAATTTTTAACACAATTTTCAAAAATTTGGAATTTTAATGGGATGCTTTCTAGTAAGTTATTGGGATAGAGATTTGTTTAATTGTGTCCGTAATTTTTCGAATCTTGTATCATAGTATTGTCTAACGTGGTATTTTAGGATTTCTCAGAATCGAGGGAACTTTATGGAGTTTTATTGGGATCTTTTAGGGAAATTCCTTGGCAAATAGAGATTGGAAGATAATTTTTAAAGTGTTAAAATTTTCAAAGGTAATTTTTTAAATCTTAGAGTAGAATTTGAACAATTTTCTGAATTTTTTATCAGTTACCAGCTGACTAATTGCTGTGCATGGATATATAATCGGGTGTTACTTAGTTGCGGATGTTTCTTTGGGATGACTTTATGGGATTTTCTAGGAATTTTTAACACAATTTTCAAAAATTTGGAATTTTAATGGGATGCTTTCCAATAAGTTATTGGGATAGAGATTTGTTTAATTGTGTCCGTAATTTTTCGAATCTTGTATCATAATATTGTCTAACGTGGTATTTTAGGATTTCTCAGAATCGAGGGAACTTTATGGAGTTTTATTGGGATCTTTTAGGGAAATTCCTTGGGAAATAGAGATTGGAAGATAATTTTTAAAGTGTTAAAATTTTCAAAGATAATTTTTTAAATCTTAGAGTAGAATTTGAACAATTTTCTGACCTTTTATCAGTTACCAGCTGACTAATTGCTGTGCCTGGATATATAATCGGGTGTTACTTAGTTGCGGATGTTTCTTTGGGACGACTTTATGGGATTTTCTAGGAATTTTTAACACAATTTTCAAAAATTTGGAATTTTAATGGGATGCTTTCCAATAAGTTATTGGGATAGAGATTTGTTTAATTGTGTCCGTAATTTTTCGAATCTTGTATCATAATATTGTCTAACGCGGTATTTTATGATTTCTCAGGATCCAGGGAACTTTATGGGATTTTATTATATTGGAGTATGTTAGAAGGATTCCTTGGCAAATAGAAATTGGAAGATAATTTTTAAAGGTTTAGAATTTTCGAAGGTAATTTTTTAAACCTTGCAGTAGAAATTTTTGCAGTCGCATTGTAAATTTTCTGAATTTCTTCCCAATTATTTTCTTTTCAGTACCACTTTGCGAAATTTCAAATGAATTTATATAATATTCGACTATGTTTTATAATGTTTTATAATTTACATCGAACGTTATGTTGAATAATAAAGTATTAGATTGTACTTTATTATGAACTATATTTATTTCATATTGGACTACACGATACCTATATTTATACGATATTTCCAAGACACGAAGGTGCTCGGTAACTACCAATTTATCAGACTCAAACGTATCTTTAAAAATTTTTAAGGCCATTCAGGTAAATATAATTATCCCGAATACAGAAAATTTGATTGCTACAAAGTGGCTGTTTAAACTTAAATTAGGAATTCGCCAATGGATTAATGAATAGCATTTACAGCGATAAACAGCGAACACGATGGAATTCATATACTGCCTTCATTCGTTATTCCTTTTCCACTCCTTTTTCTTTAATACTTTCTCTTCCGCGACCTTTTCCATACTTGTGTATAATCAACTTCATCCACGTGTGTATAACTTTTCCATTCTCGCCAGTATCGTAAAATTCCGAACACTTTATTATGCATTCAACATGCTCATCCTGTCTCTCAATTTTCTACTCGATTCGCCATGAGAAAAGCTAATATCGATGCTAAGAATAGTCAAGAGAGCATAGCAAACAATCAGTCAAGAAGCCTAACCAATCGAGTCATTACTTTCAGATATAAATCAAATTAATCAACGAGGAAGCGAAAATTATCACTTGAAAATTTTTATATCCTCATTCGAGGACTATCCGTCTTTACCCTAACTCGTGGCACTTCTATTCACATGCAATCCTCTTCCAAATATCAATCCATCGCGATGCAAACAATACGCGAAATATCAACAGAATAATAAATGTCGTTTCCACATTCTCACTCGTACTTGAAAAATCCACGTTATTTACTTACTTAAGTTACACCTACCATTTACACAGCTACGCAAACATTTACCTATATAAAAGCAGGAAAAACAATCGCAACAATTCCCTCGACCCCCAAACATTTAACCACCATCACGCTTTCCAAATTCCTACACCAACAAGTTTCGGAAATCAAAAATCAGGTGACCAAATAACAAAATCGATACATATTATGGTATCGCGAGCTGTGAAGGACACTTACAAAGGAAATAGTATTAACCCTTTGCACTGGCGAGACGATTCTAGGTCGCCATTTAATCAGAACCTAAAGATCGATGTTAATTAATATATCGAATTTAAAATTATCCAATGATGCGTGGAATATCGAAATAAAATAATTCTACTTATTCTACTTAATATAAAGGACTTCTACTTAAATACAAAGGAAATATACGCAGGAAAAACAATTCCAACAATTCCCCTCTCCCCTCAACCATTTAACCACCAGCACGATTTCCAAATTCCTGCGCCAGGTGACCAAATACCAAAAAATACCAAAAAATTTCCTTTGTATTACAAATGTACATCTATATTCTTACAAACACAGGAGTGAATATCCCACTGATGAAAGTGGCCTAAGTCAGTCAATACATAATAAAAGTTTCGTGCCTCGAATATACTATAAACTAGAGAAATATTCGGGATATAATTCTCAGCCAAAAATAGTTTTATTTTATTTAAATCTAAATATTTCAATTTTTCTTGGATTTCCTTTGTATTAAAAATGTACATCTATATTGTTACAAGCACACCTGTGAATGAAAGTGGCCTAAGTCATACATGGTAAAGGTTTCGTGCCTCGAATATACTATAAACTAGAGAAATATTCGGGATATAATTCTCAGTCAAAAATTGTTTTATTTTATTTAAATCTAAATATTTCAATTTTTCTTAGACTTCCAAGTTAGACCACTTTCATAATTACTAACATATATATACGTAGAATTGTAACACAGACATCTTTTCATCCTTTATATAACAATCCCAACAATTCCCCTTTTTCCCCAACCATTTAACCACTATCACGATATCCAAATTCCTGCACCAATATTCAAAAATCAGAAACCCAGGTGACCAAATAACAAAATCCCTCCATATTATAATATAGTACCTTTAATACCAAAAAATTTCTTTGTATTACAAATGTACATCTATATTGTTACAAACAGGTGTGAATGAAGGTGGCCTAAGTCATACATGGTAAAAGTTTCGTGCCTCGAATATACTATAAACTAGAGAAATATTCGGAATATAATTCTCAGCCAAAAATAGTTTTATTTTATTTAAATCTAACTATTTAAATTTTTCTTAGACTTCCCACTTAGACCACCTTCATAATTACCAACATATATATATACCAAAGGAAATGCACGCAGAATTATAACACAGACATCGATACATCTTTTCATCCCTTATATTTATCCAATTTACACATAGACGACGTAGTCGATTGAACGATTGCCAGCGAAATGCCCTTTCCAAGAGGGAAATCCCCGCAGAGGAATCCTGGGATGGATGGAGAAAAAGTAGGCAGGAACTCGCAGCTGGCTTTCTCGCGTGACGTTGTTCCTGGTAAAAATGAAACATCGTAGGAAACTACAATCTATTCTTCTCCTCTTTGTAAGGATTAGCGGCTATCCAGTCGAGGGCTCGCTGGATGAGGACGGGGACCGGCTGCGTAGGGGGCGGCGTCGGCAGATGGGCTCCTTGAAAAGTGGCACCATTTTCGTTGGCCAGCCAGCTGAGGTTGATTCTAGTCCCATCCGGAGCCGTCCACGCGGCCTTACCGCGAACCTCTTCGGCCTCTGCGTCCTTCTGGCCGCGATTCTTCAGCACGCCCTCCTCCTCGAACGAGATGCTGTTACCGCTTTCCCATTTCGCGAAATAACTGCCGTCAGGGTTGATGTCTTGGCTCTGACTCACGATGGGAATGATCGCTTTGTCCGCGGCCAGCGCCATGGCCAGCAGACTCATCAGGCAAATCGGCCGAGCGAACATGACGCGAGTCTGTGCAGAGAAGGTTAGCATTGAGTCGTTGCTCGAAGGAACGTTCGATTAAGTCGTTATTACTGGTGCAGTTTTATTGTACAGGTGAGTCGGTGACGCTATTATAAGAAATCCAGTTATTACTGCCGTTTAGAACGGTGTATGTATATATGTATATACATGCAGTGGATTTATTTATCGAGGAGGGTGGCTTGGGATTAGGTGAGTCGTGTCGATGTTATTATTCGCGAAGAATGGTTATCTGTTTTAATCTGGGAGTGACTTGTATTCTCGTGGAATATGTGTTTTCTATTTGTTAAGGAGAGATTGAGTGATTATTGTCGTTTAGGGAGGTGTATGCACATTCGTCTATGATGTAATTGGAAAGTGAGTGTTGTATAAGGTGGGCTGCTTGGAGTTAGGTGAGTCGCGTTGACTTCATTTGGAATATGTGATATTTTTGTTATAGATTGTTATGGATTTATTATATTGTGGATTGTTAGATATTTTTGTCTCCTATTTTTCTTTTTCTTGTGAATGGAGTTAGTGTTGTATTATTTTTCACGAAGAAGAAATAGAGTGATTTATCGTTTTGTGAAAATATTGTTTTTAAAAATTTTATTAGAGATAGACCTCTTCGTTAGATATCAGACTTCAATTTACCATTGTGATCTCTTGTAACAGAGTAATTGGATTGAAATTCAGATAAAAGGGAGTGATAAAGCTGGAATGGTTAGGAAAACAACAAATTATCTACCAATCTACAGTGCTTATCGCAATACTTAATATTTAGTACTTGGTACTTATCGCAGAGACTCAAAACTCGATACCTCCAAAACACCTCCAGCCAGAAAAATTTCCCCCGCCTTATTCTAAGTTCTCAAAACCAATTACACCAATAATACAAACGATGCATCGAGATAGTAACATCGCTGATAATAATGTCCATATAAATTATACTTTCATCGACCGGTGGCTAAATATCTCGTTAAAACCGTGACAAGTGACCGTCGATAAATCAAACTAATCAAGCAGTTATCCATTTGCTGACCGTTCAATTCACTTAACCTGTTTTATTAACGCGGCGACCGGGTTAAGCGTTGCAAAGCAGCATGAATGATCGCGCGGAGTGTTAATGAACGATGTATGGAACGCGCGCGAAGATAACGATCTAGAGGCTATCGATTAGTTATTGTTGTCTAACCTCGGTTTGCGAATTTACAGACAGCGAGTGGCGAAGTCCTACTGACGAGCACGCGTCCATCGCCTGCACCTTTTATAGTTTGAAATACTCTCCGCTATCACCGACATTTTCCGTTCAAATGTCACTCGGTGATACCGGTTCAGCCTTCGTATGACCGGTATCACGTATTATAGGAAACCTTCCCGGCTGGATTACGGGACGGGCAACCTGTAATCAATCCTCGCCTACATCGTCAATTAACCGTTACCGCGGATGCACGCTGACTATAAATATTCGGAATGCTTGTCGCCTGTTATTGCGAATCATTTACATAGCACGCAATCCGTTTAAGGAGATCGAGAATTCAGTTCGGGCCCAGCAGGCGTTCACCTTTTCCGTGCAAACTGATTTTTCCTTCGTTCGCGCGATCATCGAAATGTTTTTTCGCAATATTTAAAGGAAGATTTAATAATATTAATATAATAATATAGTGATATAGAAATATAATAATAATATAATAATATAGTATTATTACTGTTATAATTATATTAATGAAAATAATAATATAGTTATATTATTGTTATTATTACTATTATTATGATTATTAACCTTTGCACTCGAGAGGTGAGCTTCAGTCACCATTTCATAAAATTTAGAAGATCGATATCAATTAATATATCAAATTTAATGTAACGTAACAGTGTGCGAGGTATCGAAATGAAATAATTCTACGATTCTATTATTATACAATTCTTTATTTATTGCTGAAAATAGTATCGTCAGTTTTATAATAGAGAATCTTTGAATTCTTCTCTGGTCAAAAAATCGTCGAGTGCAAAGGGTTAACAATAATAATAATACAGAATATACATAATATAACAATATAGTAATACGATACGTCCCTCGATTTTGCAAATTTTTTCCTATTCAATTTGTTATAAATAAAATACCTCTTTCAATAATAATATAATAATAATACAATATAATAATATAGTAATAGGATACGTTCCACGATTTTGAAAAATTTTTTCCTATTCAATTTGTTGTAAATGAAATACCTCTTTTGTTTTTAAGATGGGTGTTTGGTAATGAGAAATGAACTGTTTCAGGCATCAAATTCGGAATGGAATATTTTCTTATGTAAAACGATGTTTCTTTGGAAAAAATTGGCAAAAAAGAACACGTTTTTTGAAAATTGAAGTATTCCGAAGACAATGCTCAGTATTTAACGTTTTCTAAGGCGAGATTGGTTTTCTTTGTAACACGTAGGTCTTTCATTTTGATTTTCTTATTGAAATATATTTTTTCAAAATTGAAATATCTCAGGGGCTAAATGTAATACAGGATTCAACAGTTTAAAAATTTTTCTCGCTTTTATATCGTTATTGTATAGCGTTCGAAATTGCATTTTTAATGTACAATTATAATTTTTCAAACGAATATTGGGAATTAATGAAATAGCGATACGTGCGTGTTGCAAGCAGAAGGTTGAAAGGCAAGTCACGTCTTTAAACAGGTTTCCGTATTTTTGTGATTGTCTAGTGACAAACAAACGCAGGAATAACACGATAAAAACATAACTCGATTATGAAAAATAGTAGATTAATTAATGAAATATCGAAATATTCTTCGTTTTTCATTGTCGAAAAATTATTCCATTTTTGTATATTTTTGTTTCCTTCGTCTGATTATTCGGGCAATTTCGTTTCTGCGATTTACTCCTTTGTTTCTTGTCAATTCGTTTGTGCAATATGCGTTTTAATTTCATCTTCCCAATTGCTTCGCTCGTGATTTATTTCTGTAACTGGTTATAAAGGAATAAATGTTTTATTTATTTACGTAATTGTTTGAATATGCAGAAATTCATTTTCACTTATGCCCCTTTATTTCGAAACTGCGTTGTTCTTCGTATAATTTTCATAAAATTTCCTGGCAAATTACATCAGCAATATATCAACGTACTACCTCAAATATGAAAATTAAATTTAATAAAAGATTTTATTTTCTTCCATGACAAATTTAGCTCGACGTAATAATAATTATTCATTATCATCGTGTATGTGCATACGTGATATTCCTTAAAAAATTTATTCGAAGAATTTTTATAATTCGACGTAACTTCGATTTTATAAATATACATTCTATTTCGAAATGAGTTATATCGTGTTACTTTAATTGCCTGATATTTTCATGAACAATTACCCCCGTGTTTTCCACGTTGCACACGAACAAAATAAATTTCCGTTCCCATGGTATTTCTATTTCGCCATGACAAATGCGAAGCTGCACTGGAAATATTTGTATTTATTCGAGCAATCTAAAACTACAAATTTACGCGTTATTTTAGCTGAAAAAATATTTGTTTCAATCCCTTTCAAGCTGTTAAAACGATCGTGTATTTATCGAGTGCGATAATGCATACGTGAAATACAGAAGATTTTTCGAACAGTGAAATAAATTTTATCGATATTCTTAGCATTTCTGGCACCGTGACGATAATTAACCCTTGCACTCGACGATTTTGGGCTGAAGAAGAAAAGGAGTTCAAAGATTTTCTGTTACAAAGCTGACGATATTTTTCTGGGCACTGAGTAAGAAATCATATAATAATTAACACGTAGAATTATTTAATTTCGATACCTCCCACACTGTTACATTATTGTAAATTTGATATATTAATGAATATCGAGCTTCGAAATTTTATCAAATGGCGACTAAAAGGCGCCTCTCGAGTGCAAAGGGTTAACTTTCTCTTAAATTGGGAAAAATTTTTAAACATTTATAAATTGGAATACTATTTTTAATAGGAATCTTTATTTTATCAAATTACATAGAACACAAAATTCTCATAAAATGCTTTAGCACGAGGAATATTTACTGTCGAACACAATGCTACCTAAGCAGCACGCGTGCCTCGAGGAACAACGCAACAATGAGATAAAGTAATTAATCTCTTAATCTATAGTGACCTTTCGCACGCCACGGACTCGTGCTTCTAAAAAATGATCTGTCAAGGGAAGCAGAGACCTAACGAGCGGAATCTCTGACTTTTGAATACTTCGTACAAGCTGTTACATTGTCCCACGGTACCACCCAGGACTTTTCATTGCGACAAGTGCCATCAGTCATCGCTTTATTCGAGTGTTCGACACACTTTGGAGTACAGTTGCTCGTGGAAGAGAGGAGGAAAGAAAGAAGAAGGTGGTTTTAAGAAACACGTGTTTTCTTCGAAGTTCGTGAGGTAATGGGTCAATGCCGAATGAATCACGGCTTAACCGTGCTTATTAGAAATTTTGTAATTGTTTCACGACCTTTCTGATTCTAACTATCAGTTTGTGTGCCTCGAACAGCTCGTGTTTCGAAACTTCTGACAAACCTAAATTACGTAGGATCCCAGGAAGAATTCTCGACGAGCTAGAATTAGGAGTACTTTTAGGAGAACTCTGACGAAGGTACGAATGGGGTACTCGGGGAGATGAAACGTCTAGGGAATAGAATCATCGAATGACTGAATCGTTTATAGGAATTTATGACGTTCGCTCAAGAAAAATATTCGAAATTTCAGAAAATTTTTACATTTCATTTATTTGAAAAATTTATCAACATTCTAAGTTGATTATCTCGTAAAGATTTCTTTAATTTCTTTGTATAAATAAATCTTCCTTTCTTTAATACAAATAAAACTATCAATTTTCCAGAAATAACCTCACACTTAAAATCTGATTGAATCATTTACAGGAATTTGTGACGTTTGCTCAAAAAAGAAATTCGAAATTTCAGAAACTTTTTACATTTAATTTATTTAAAAAATAACCTCAAACTTAAAATCTGACTAAATCATTTATAGGAATTTATGACATACGCTCAAAAAAGAAATTCGAAATTTCAGAAATTTTTACGTTTAATTTATTTGAAAAATTTATCAACATTCGAAATTGATTATCTCGTAAATATTTCTTTAATTTCTTTATATAAATAAATCTTCCTTTCCTTAATACGAATAAAACTATCAATTTTCCAGAAATAACCTCAAACTTAAAATCTGACTGAATCATTTATAGGAATTTATGACGTTTGCTCAAAAAAGAAATTCGAAATTCCAGAAATTTTTTCGTTTAATTTATTTGAAAAATTTATCAACATTCGAAATTGATTATTTCGTAAATATTTCTTTAATTTCTTTAGATAAATAAATCTTTCTTTCCTTATTACGAGTAAAACTATTAATTTCCCAGAAATAAGCTCAAACTTAAAATCCTTCTCGACCATATCTACTAGATTACTAAAAATCGTTCTAAATCTTTTTACAAGTTTCGAAGATCAATCTTAAATTACTATAATTCTATTATATAATATATTCAATTACTTTATTAACTAAATACCAATTCTAAACTAATAATTAAACGATTTAAGCCATAATTGAATTAGCAACTCGATCCTTAGACTCCATTTTGGAGCACGAGTTTCTACGTGACCGTGCAACTAACCTCAAAAAGGTAGTGGCGCTTGCTAGTGCTGCCTCTGCACGTCGAGTCTCGAACTTCTCTCCAACCACCCTCGCGTTATCGCACAATGTCACTCGCCTTTCTGGCGATAAATTATGAATGCAAGCATCGACACACGTTCGGGCCTGTTGCTCTAGTTAATAGCTTGTATCATTAATCGCGTGGAAAACGTCTTCTGGTACCTTGGGCCTTTTACGAACTTGCTGCCTCGGATCTTCATTAAAGCTTCACGCCGTCAAGTTTAACGCGTTTGCCACGGAGTTTCGACACTGCCGCTGTCTTGTAATCGATACCCTTCGAGCGATAACATTTTCAGCCCGCGATAATTTTCGTGTTATACTGCTAAGCATGAGGCAGAATTACCACCAACTTTCATAACTTCCAGCACCCAGAGCGGTGTGTAGAATCAGCGCGCTATTGTAAAATTCGTGGCTATAATTGGACGCCATTAAGTTTCGCGGTAACGATCGAGAAGTATTGCTTTGTATACTAGAAAAGGAATACAAATGGTCCATTTTTCTGGCTTTTCCCGCCTCGAGATGGCGGGAAAAAATTTTGCAATCTGGACTGTAAAATTTGAAATAACAGACTCGCTAATTTGCATAATACAATCTTCGGTGTAGCTAATCCTGAAATGAAATTGGAGAGAAACTTTCCTTAGGAAATGCATAAGTGAACGTGTTCTTTTTATCAGGTAAAATATATATACGTAGCTTTACCAAAATTTTGTCCTTTCTTGAAAGCTTGAATATTTAAAAGCAATTATGACACACTTTTATTTTATATGAAATTATCATTTTTTCTTTTTTCTTTGTTATATATCTTTTACCTCGATTCGATATATCGTATTGGAAGCATCGAGAAATATTTCACGAATTCATCGTTTACACAGGTAATTATAAAGGATTGTTTGCCAGCAAAGCAAACCGGTCGAATATTTTCGGCTTAAATCATATACATATAGTACAGTCTGCATGAAAATCACGTGAGCGAAAATTTTAGTTTTTAGACAGAACCACTTATCCCGGTATTTTATTTCATCGAGCTATTTTTGAATAAATGTATTCTTAAATTTCTATCTATATTACGTCAATGACAAAATTGAGCGATTTATTATAATACCAGTCACTACCTTTAAAAATATCTCTTCCTATTTGCCACGCCATTCTTAATTTTCCAAAAATCAAAATCTAAGAATAGTAAAAACATAAGAATAGTCCAAGACTATTTTTATTTGCTCAAATACCTATACTACTGATACCCAAATACCTAAATATCTAGATACTTAAATAAAAAGAGAGAAAGTGTAGTTGATATCAAAATATGGCAAACGATTTTTCTTTTTTTTTTTACGTGGGGGAATCTTCCAAAGATGCTCGGCCCCCCTAGGGGAGGGGACGGGGTTATGTGGGATTTTTACCCACTAAAACCCCCGCGGTGGCCATCTTAACGCGATAGTGGAGCGCTCTGGACTTCGCGGCGGCAATTGCCAGGAAAAATATGGCAAACGATGTGTCAACGTAACCTAACCTAAACCACGAGTACGTAATACTACATACGTTCACTCGAAGCACGAATAGGGTGTAGGGA